TGGTTGCTGAACTCTCTGTGGTTAGATGAGTATTTTACCGCCAGCCCTCCTCTGCTTCTTATCAGTTCCTCAGGGCTCCGGGAGTCAGTTCTGGGATACCTGACCTCCACTTGGAAGTGTTAGCCTAGGGCTACGCTACAGTCATATCCTTGTCTTAGTGCAGCTGGTCGAGGTTAGACCAGCTGGGATCTTGGTGTTAGGAAGTCTGGGCACAGTTGGCCATCTGCTATATACAGGGCTTGGGGATAGGGTTCAAAGGCAGCAGAGCTATCCCTGACTTCAGGAAGGGAGAAAGTGAGAGCTAAGCAGGGCTGAGTGGGGCAAGAATGTCCAGGGGTAAGTTAAGTAATGTAGAAGAGGGAGGAAGAGTGGGCCAGGCTGGCATTGTTGGGGTTGTCTATTGGGTCCCTAGGCTATGGTTGGGTTGTGCCTGGCAGTGTGAGGTCCCAGACTGTTAATTTATGTCTGTCTAGAGAAGGTTTGTTTCCTCTGGGGCTACCCTTGGGAACTGGCCATTTTGTTGACAAAACAGAGAATGAAAATCTCACTGCAAACAAGCTCTGTTTACACAGGGTCTTCAGAAAACACATGGCTGCAGGTGCAGCAGACACAGAGCACGTGCCTTGTCAGTCCTGGCTAGAGGACAGGCTGGCGCATCACACATGCACATGCACACAAACATGCAGGAGTGCACGCACACACCCCTCTTCCTGCCCTACACAAATACCCACCTCCCCCAGGCGCTCGCCCACTGTAGAATGCATCTATGTGTTTCCCGCTGATAGGTATGTTCCATGAACCAACTTTAAGTATTTCTGAGAGCCCCATGCTGGCAGACACTCATGCCCACAAACTTTCCCTTAGGACACCCCCAGTTATTGTTCTTATTGTTATTACTGTTACTATTGTTTTATTTGAGCTAGGGTCTCATGTAGCCCAGCCTAGCCTGGAAACTCATTTATGTAGCTGAGGATAACCCCAAACTCCTGATTCTCATATCTGTTCTTCCATCTCTCAAGTACTGGAATCAATGGAGTGCACCACCACCCCTGGCATTTGTAAACTCCCACAAATGAAATCAGAGTCATAACCCCTGCTTCTATTTCATAGTTGAGGAGCTGAACTGGGTCTGGCCTAGAGACCCAGGGCTGGGGCTGACCAGAGATCAGTGACAAGGGTCATGCTGTCTAAGGTCATCTTGGATAGTTAGTCTGAGAGGTCATCCTGACTGTGGTCAGAGAAATCACATGCCCCAAGTCATGAAGGGAACCAATGGCACATCAAGACTAAGATGCAGATTCCCTGTTCTGTAGCTGAGTTTTTTTTTTTACCAGTGGTCCTGTCAGGCTCACAGCTAGGTCACACACACACACACACACACACACACACACACACACACACACACGAGGTGGGGTGGAGAGAGAGATGGAGAGGGAGACCCCCTGGGGGCACCTCTCCCAGGCCCCTCCAGAGTTTGCTGGTCTCTGACATCATCAGGCCTAGAGCATGCCGGATGTGGATAAGCCATCCCCCTTCTTCCCAAATTGTGGTTGATGGTTGCTCAGGCAACCGCCTGGCCAGATTGGGGAGATTAGCAGAGGAATGTTGCTGGGCTAGTTGGAGCTGAGACTGGGGGAGCCATGGGGTCCTGCATTGATTCAACCCATCCTCTCTGAGAGCTCTCTACAGAGATGAGGTACCCTAAGAGGGCCTTGACTTCGCTCCCTGTCCCCAGCCTAACGTAGCGCAGCGTGTGCCTCAGGGACTTGAATTGGGCTAGGGAAAGCAAGTGTACGGGTACACATAACATGTACATACTTTCTTGAGTGAAGTGTGTGCTGTTTATATTCAGGGTGAGACTTCAGATCCCCTTTCTTGCCAGTCTGACGCTAAGCTCCAGACCATTTGGTAGCTTGGTCCAGAGTTCCCTCCTGACCCCGTTACACTCTGGAAGAGACACCTGCTTGAATTATGAGAAATCTGGGCATTTCCCATTCCAGCACCTCCTGTGGCTCCCCAGTTAAAAACGAGGTTCAACTCCTTACCCTGGCTCCCAAGGTTTTTTAAGAACTGGCCTCAGTCTCCGGTTTCCCATCGTGTCAGCCAGCCTGAGCTCCTCCCTGTGCAGGGGACAAACGGGTTCCCTTCCTTCCTCCCGTCACGCCTATGGTTCTAGGCTCAGTTCAGTTGTAGCTTCCTTGTGCCAACACCTCTTTTCTTTTCTTTGTGTATCATCCCCCACCTTATAACCTTGGCCGCTTTTAGCCATCATTTCCTTAGGTGGGAAGCCCCCCAAAGTAAGATAGAACTTCTTTTTCTCCCCGCCCCCTCCCCATTTTGGGCATCGAACCTGCGGCCTCACACATGCTCCACAAAGGTCCTGTAGCACTGAACTCCAGCCCTCTACCCCGTCCTTCTTGTGCCTCTCACAGTGGTGCCCATCGCAGGTCAAGCTGCACTGCGTTGTCCGGGGAGACATGTCTTGTGTGTGAAGCCAAACCGGGGTCTTGTTTTGTCTGTGCCTACTCTCCCTGGATGAGGAAGGCGGTTTGTCTTCTGCACATTGCTTCTGTGTGGCCCCTGCTTGTCTCTGAGCAGCACACACACACCGTCCATCTGTGAGACAAGAATAACCCCAGAGCTGCTTTCTAGATGAGCTCCTGGTGCAGCTTGCTCATGGTAGTCAGGGCAGGCATGGTGGTAACTGGTGCCCCCCTGTGGTGGTGCTGAAGGCCTGGCAGGAGGAACTGGCTGTTCCTACCCCTGGGAGAGCTGGGGAGCCGGCCTCCTCCAAGAGAAGGAGTTGAACTGGGCCTGGACTAGAGACCCGGGCTGGGGTTGACTGGAGATTTGTGAGAATGGTCACTCTGGCTAAGAGGTCATCCTGGATGGAATCAGTCAGCCTGACCGTGGTTACATAGAGAGGGCAACAGTCGGAGAAGCTGGTGGCTATGTGACTGACATTTAGGGAGTGTCATATGGATGAAACTGGGGTCACTCTGGTCAGGCACAGTCAACAGGGAGCCACTCTAGCTTAGGTCGGCCTGGAGGGGGGCGGGGGAGGTCAGTCACTTGGTGGAATCATGTAATTGTGGTCTGAGACCCCAGTCTGGCTGTTAGGCTGAGGTCAGCAAGCTCTGGGAATGCTGTCTGGTCTTGTGCCTGGCTGAGGACTGATGGAAAGAAACCACAGGGCTGGCTACCTCAGGCCCGCCAGGGCCCTGGAGGAGAGGCCTGGGGCAGCTACTTTGCCTTTGTGAAGGAACCAGAAGGGCCTCCAGCCCAGGATCTAAGTTTTCCTACAGTCTGCCCCAGTGATCGGCTGGGACCCCCAAGGGCGGGAAGTGAGTGCTCCCCTCCTCCAGGAAGACCACTCACTAGCTGTCCTTTCTTTTTGTGCTGCATGCACAGTGGGCTCTTTTCAAGGGGAGAGCTGGGCCCTCCCAACCCAGATGACATTAAAACTCACTTATCTCATGCCCGAGGGCACAGCGCTGACTGGAGCCTTTCAAACAAAGAGGCAGAAAGCACCCTGGGTGCCCTGCCTGGACACCAGTCTGCTCAGCGCGGGATCATGCACATCTCATTATTTCCCATTCTCTGGTGGGGTTCAAGGAGATGAGAGACCCCCAGCAATGACAATCCCGGTCACGCCTAGTTCTGCCTGTGTTTTCCTGTGCCATGTTATGGGCCGGCAGAAACGTGCAAATGGGCCACACACAAGTGAGCCCTCAAAGGGAACCACTGGCTGCCCCACCCGTGCCACTCACCTGCTGGCTTATTGTCTGCCCCTCCCCTTTCTTGAGACCCAGAAGAAGCTCATCCTGCCCCTTCTCAAGTGCCTGGGGAGTGTGGACTTTGGATGGACACAGATTCAAATCTGGCTCCTTTTCCTCCTACGGGAACCAGTGGCACACCTACGCTGGTGTTTCCCCGGGGGCTCACATGCGTTGATGTAGATCTTCAGCCATTGCATGTGTGGGTGGGGAAACCGAGGCTCAGAAAGAGGAAGCAACTTGCCCAAAGTTGCTAGGGATGGCAAATGGCAAAGTCAAGATTCGATCCCGAGTCTAGCCCAAGTCTCCGGTGTCCATCACTGTGCTGTACCACGGGCAAATGCCTTTGCTTCTCAGAGCCTTGGTCACCTCATCCGTCAAATGGGTCTGACAGGCAGGCAGGACAGGCCTGGCCTGATTTCTTGCCAGTTCTCTCAACACTGTTCAGTTTGCTGGGGCTGCAGACACGATGGCTGGGGAGTGGGTGCAAGGCTCGGCTCAAATCCCTTCCAGAACCAGTGAGGCTTGTGTTTATTTGATACCAACTCCAGGTGCTGATGAACCAGCTGAGACACAGTGGGCCTCCCTACCAGGAGGGCCTCACTGCATCTCAGGCCCTTCCTTCGCTTCCCTGTCAGTCAGATTATTAATCTCGGTCTCCAGTCACCAGAATTAACCTCCTCTCGCCACACGTCTGTTCAGTCCACACAGGGCCATACTAGGTCACATCCCTGGGGACAGAGATCTAAGTTGACTGACTTTGGGCAGTGACTGAACTCCCTTGGTGTCTATCATGTCACCTGACACAGGCGGTGCCATTGTACATTTGGAGCTTATCATCATGCTATGCTGGGCCCCCATTTCCCAGCCAGCAACGCGGGATGAACCTAGGGCTGGTCTTGTAGGTTAATTTGAATCTATGCTTGCAACAGCAGTGTCTGGTTTTATTGAGGAGGGTCTTGTTGGATGACTGAACTGTTGGAGATCCTGGGACGTGGTGGGGGAGTGGGCAGTGGAAAGTCTTGGTACTGGTGAGGGACAGTGAGGAGAGGATTTGGGGGCAGAGGAGGGAGAACTTGGTTAGTTGGAGGGAACCGTGATGAGGAGGGGAGAGGGTGGCCTGGGCAGAAGGAGGGGATAGTGGGGAACCCTGAAGGGCTGTGTTGGAGTCCTCCTCGTCAGTGGCCTTGCCTGGCCTTAGCTAATCAGTCCCTGCCCTCCCAGCTGGCTGCACCTTTGAGGAGGCGAGTGACCCAGTCGTGCCCTGCGAGTACAGCCAGGCTCAGTATGATGACTTCCAGTGGGAGCAAGTGCGGATCCACCCTGGCACCCGGGCCCCTGCAGACCTGCCCCATGGTGAGCCTCCTCTCCGTCACTACTGCTTTTCTCCTTCCAGGCCTTCCTAGTTTTCTCTCAGGGTCTCCTGCTCTTCCTGGGACTTGAAGACACTGAGGAGAAGTGGTACTGGGTCTCTGGATATGCCTCTGCCCTCTTCCTGGGAGCCCCGTCCTTCCCAATGTCAGCTTTACACCGTTCCTACCTCAGCACCAGGCACTTTGGGCATCTTGAGCCCTGGATTGGGAGTCAGGAGGCTAGATGTCTGGTACTGGTCTCTTACTCAGATGATAGCTTTGAGAACACTCATTCCAGAATCTATAAGACATGGTTCAAGTCCTGGCCCCACCATCTAGCCAGCTCTGAGCCTTTGTTGTCTTTTTTTGTTTTGTTTTGTTTTGTTTTTATGAGACAGGGTTTCTCTGTATTGTTTTGGAGGCTATTGGTCCAGCCTGGCCTCGAACTTACAGAGATCCACCTGCCTCTGCCTCCCGAGTGCTGGGATTAAAGGCGTGTGCCACCACCGCCCGGTGCCTTTGTTGTCTTGATGGTGACGTGGGAGAATAGTAGCCCACATCACAGAGGTGGCACCCAGGGAGTCAGTTGTGTAGTTGCTATGGTGAGGATACTTGAGAGTGCCTGGTGACTGGTAGACCTCCTCACTGGGTGCAGAACCAACTGAGAATTAAGAGCAGACATAAAGCTAGGGCAGGAGGGCCAAAAGTTTGAGGTCAGCCTGGGTTCTTTGGTGAGATACTGTCCCCCAAATAAAACTGGAAGAAAAGAAAAAAGGAGGTGGGAGGTTGAAGAGATGGCTCAGTGCTTAAGAGCCCTGGCTGCTCTTTCAGAGGACCTAGGTGGGTTCTATTCGCAGCGCCACATGGCAGGTCACAGTCAGCTCCAGTTCCAGGGGATCCAACGCCTTCTGACGACTCTTCAGGAATTGCACATATGTGGTTCACAGACACGTAGGCAAAACACCCAGACACATAAAATTAAAATATATACATATCTTTTTAGCTGGGTGTGGTGGTGCATATCTTTAATCCCAGCACTCAGGAGGAAGAGGCAGGCAAAAAGAAAGGTCCAGAACAGTCAGGGCTGTTACACAGAGATGTAACAAAGATAAACAAACCACACACACACACACACACACACACACACACACACACATCTTTTTTTTTTTTTTTTTTTTTGGTTTTTCGAGACAGGGTTTCTCTGTATTGTTTGGAGGCTGTCCTGGAACTTGCACTGTTGACCAGGCTGACCTCGAACTCACAGAGATCCGCCTGTCTCTGCCTCCCGAGTGCTGGGATTAAAGGTGTGTGCCGCCACTGCTGGGCACACACAATATTTTTAAAAGGAAAAAGAAAAGGATAGGGGAGAGATGGAGGCCAAATGAGTCACTTGGTTACTGACCAGGCCTGTGTTGCCTGTGAAGGAACCTTAAAACAGACAGCCAGAATTTCCCTCACCTGTGTCCCACTATAGAGGTGACCTCACCTGTGTCCCACTAATAGAGGTGACCTTGGCTGTTCAGCTCACAGCACGGACAAGATGATATAAGCTGGGAAGAGTAGGCCAGGGAAATGGTGACTCTTGGCGGTGGGTGGAAGCAGCCTTAGGTGAGAGGCCCCTGAGGCCTGGCTGGCTGGCTGGGCTCTGGAAGTAGACGCTGCTACTACTATGGCTCTCCTTACCAGTCTGGTCATTGTCCATCTGTGTCATTCTGGGTGTGTTTATCTGTCTCTTCAGGGTCCTTGATCCTTGTATATGTCTGTTCTAGAATTATTACTGGTTAGCTTATTTGAGAGAAATGCATAAAGGTTCCTACCCTGCAGGGGCTCTGGGTGACCTCTCTGTACCCCTAGACCCAGGTCTTAATAGGCATAGCTATATGTAGATATAAGAGTTCTGGCTTAAGGCCCAGAGGTGGTGGCACACACCTTTAGTCCCAGCACTCAGGATGCAGAGGCAGGTTGATCTCTGTGAGTTCGAGGCCAGCCTGGTCTACAAAGCAAATTCCAGGACAGTTAGAGCTATTGCACAGAGAAGCCCTGTCTTGACTCCCCTCACCCCTCCCACACCACCATGAAGGTGGAGGAGTGCATGACAAGGTGGAGAGTGCGTCAGGGAACAGAGGAGAAGGACGGGCAAGAAGGTGTCACATTGGAACAGGGAACTACCTTAGGGGAGGTGAGAGTCCACAGGAGCTGGCTAAGAAGTGTCTGGCTAGGATGTGCCCCTTCTAGGGTTCAGTGGAGATAGGGACCTGGAGATTCATTCCCTACCCCTGCAGGACACAGGCAGCAGCCGCCTTCACAGGGCTCCAGGCTCAGGGAGATGAATGAGATGCCCACTAGCTGAGTCCCTGGGGGAGCACTACTGAGCAGGCTCAGAATGTGCTATCAGCTAAGCCTGGGAGGAGACCATGCCTGATGGCTTTGGGTCTCTCCTTGGCAGCTTCACCCCTCCTCCCAACTCCCCAAGGGAAGCCACAATCCCAGCCAGGTCCTGATCTCCATAACACTTGGAGGAACTTCAGGTTGGAACGTGGGGTGTTTGTGTTGGAATCTGGTTAGCTCAGGAAGGGAAGTTAATCCTTCCATTCAGTCTGTCCTACATATTCATCAAGCTTGGGCTCAGAGCCTGTCTGAGGACTCAACAAGGGCCTGTGGCATGGCAGCCTGGTAGCAAGACTGTCTCACACTTCATAAACGATCAGAGCCAGAGGGAAAGTGGCTACCCAGCACCGGGAAGTGTTTGAGGTTTTGGAAACAGTAAACAGTAATAATTCTAGAACAGAGGGCCTGCCCTGTGCCAGGTTCTTGATTCCTGAGAATAAGAATGACCTAATCCTTACCTCCCAGGAGCACAGAGCTTGGGAAACTGGTGACCTGTGGATGGTGAGGGGCCATATGGGCTTTGACAAAGGTTGAGTTTGTGTTTTCTACTGTTTCAGCCCTCTCCTTTGGAAACAGACTCTGGGGAGGGGGAGGGATCTACCCTAAAGGACCAAAGCTCTGATCAGAACTGGAAACTCCCATCAGAGCCCAAACCCTTGATTCCTGGTGGGTTCTTCATTTCTGTCCCTTCTCAGTGTGATCTTGGCCTTCCCTAAGGTAGCTTTGCCTCTTCTTTTTCTCTCTCCAGGTGCCTACTTGATGGTCAATGCTTCCCAGCATGCTCCAGGCCAGAGGGCCCATATTGTTTTCCAGACCCTGAGTGAGAATGACACCCACTGTGTGCAGTTCAGCTACTTCCTGTATAGCCGGGATGGGCACAGTCCAGGCACTCTAGGTGTCTATGTGCGTGTGAATGGGGGCCCTCTGGGCAGTGCGGTGTGGAATATGACTGGATCCCATGGCCGGCAGTGGCACCAGGCTGAGCTGGCCGTCAGCACTTTCTGGCCCAATGAATATCAGGTGGGTTGGGTTTTTAGTCAGTTGGTCAACTTGGGCTTTCAGACAAGGGTGGAACTAATATCAGCCCAGCATCATGAGTCAGTCTGGGGTCATGTTTGGAGTTAGTCTGGGGTCAGTGTGGGTAGAGTGTCAGAGGTCATTGTTAATGGAGTGGCCGGTGTTGAAGGTGAGTTGGAACAATACTCAGCTGAAAATTCTAACTAGAAGGATTCTGCTGTTTTGAGGGACTGTCTGAGCTGGAATGGATCTTCTAGACTTGACCTTGACCTTGCTTTCTCTACCTACACCCCTGAACCAGCTGGTCTGGTAGTGAGGGTCATGTGAGCTGGGTTAGCATCTGTTGGTGGAGAGGGGGCTGGGTTGGGGCCCAAGCTGGGCTGGAGGGATGTCTCTCTGACAACTGGCTTCCCACTTCCCTCAGGTGCTGTTTGAGGCCCTCATCTCCCCAGACCACAAGGGCTACATAGGCTTAGATGACATCTTGCTATTCAGCTACCCCTGTGGTGAGTCCCTGTCCACTTGGACACAAGGATGAGGGTAGCTTTGGCTCCTGCCTGCAGGGCATGCAGGCCCAGCTCATGCTGGGGCTCTGCCTGTTTTCCCACAGCAAAGGCCCCTCACTTCTCCCGCCTTGGAGACGTGGAGGTCAATGCGGGCCAGAATGCATCCTTCCAATGCATGGCAGCAGGCAGAGCTGCAGAGGCAGAGCGCTTCTTCCTGCAGGTGAGGGTGTCCCACGTTGACTTTGCCCAGGAAGGTGCTAGAGGGCAGGACACCTCTCCTAGCCTTGGCTCCCTTTTGGGGAGCCTCAGCATCTATACACTGTGTCTTGCCTCCCACCCAGGCTGCGCTCGGCCAGCTTGGATTCCCCTTCACCCCAGCGCGGAGGACAGTTCCTGGATCCTCAAATGCCCCTGGGATAGTAGGGACTCATATACACTGCCCGGTTGGAATCCTCCCTGATTCTCCCATCCCTCTCTCCCCTCAGCGGCAGAGTGGGGTGCTGCTGCCTGCTGCAGGGGTGCGGCACATCAGCCACCGGCGCTTCCTGGCCACTTTCCCTCTGGCCTCTGTAGACCGAGCTGAGCAGGATCTGTATCGCTGCGTGTCTCAGGCCCCGCGCGGGGCTGGTGTCTCCAACTTTGCGGAGCTCATCGTCAAAGGTCAGCGGATTGGCTTTGAGGACGGCTGGAGCTGCAGGGGCAGGATAAGATAGGGTTGTGCCTGAAGCTAGCTCCTTAGAGGACTTGGTTGGGGTCCTAGGGCAGGTTTAGTGGAGGGTTTGGGAGCGGCTTGGGGGCCTGAGAGAGGACAGGGAGGGTCTGGTGATGGTAGCAGAAGGGGTTAGAGTTAGGTTCTGGCTGTGACCTGAACTGATGGACCTGTGAAGGGAACAGTGTCATTGAGGGATGGGCGGGCTGCCTGTGTGGGAGGAGGGTACAGGGAATGAGACTATGTCTAGTTTCACCTTCCAGGTGCTAACCCAGCAAGTGTGCTGGAGTTCTCCAGGCCAGGGCTTGGGAGTTCCGAGTGGGTGTGGCTGAGCTATGGGAGTTCTAGGGCCACGTGGCAGCATCAGTAGGCACCTCCTCTCCTGCATGTCCTTGCAGAGCCTCCCACCCCCATCGCGCCCCCACAGCTGCTGCGTGCAGGCCCCACCTACCTCATCATCCAGCTCAACACCAACTCCATCATTGGCGACGGGCCGATCGTGCGCAAGGAGATCGAGTACCGCATGGCTCGGGGCCCGTGGGCCGAGGTGCATGCTGTCAATCTGCAGACCTACAAGCTGTGGCATCTTGACCCAGACACCGAGTATGAGATCAGTGTGCTGCTCACGCGTCCTGGGGATGGAGGCACAGGCCGCCCGGGGCCACCACTGCTCAGCCGGACCAAGTGTGCAGGTGGGTTGTTCCCCATTCCATAGAGGTAGCAAAGCCTCCTGATACACACGCATTTATTAACTTCAACCTTACCACAAGGCAGGGACTCTGGCTGGATGTTAGTCTTCTAACATGGAGGCAACTTTTCCATAGCTTGTCTCACAAAGCAAAGCAAGCAAACAACAGAGACAAAGAAAAAATAAAACCAAAACAAACAGGCAAACCAAGAAAACAAATCAGAAAACTTACCAGAAGGCTATATGACATAGGTGCTGTGGTCATACCCATTTCACAGAGGAGGTGACTGAGGCAGAGATGTTAGTTGACTGGGCAAAGAACACACAGCTAGTAAGTGGCAGAGATGGGGCTTCTGTCTTCTTAAACACTATCAATTAAAAACTGTGTGTGGTAGGTTTTGTCTGGATTCCTTCCCTGAGCCTGGCATTGAGCCCAAAGTCATCTCTTCTTGTTTAAGAGGGTGAAGGAGTAGTTGCTAAGGACCCATGATGCACCTGCAGCGGAAGACTAATCAGAAGAGACACGGATGGAGAGCAGGGTTCTGTGTGATGTCAGTGTGCAGTTGCTTTTGGACTTTTCTTAGTGAAAATGTGGATTCTCAATGTAGATCCACATGCTCTTGTAAGAAAAAAGCAGAGGTCCTCCAGCCTCTATCATGTTTTCCTCAATAGATAGATACATTTTGTACAACTATAGTTTAATTTCACAATGAAGATTGACCTCTGGGGCTGGCAAGGTGGCTTAGCAGGCTGCCAAGCCCGATGACCTAGAGACTCACATCGTGGAAGGAGAGAACCTACTCTCATAAGATGTCTTCTGACTTCCATATGTGTGTTGTGGTATGCTTGTGCCCCACCCACCATGGGCACCTGCATAATAAATAATACAATGTAACAAAAATGTGTAGCAAAAAATTGACATCCTTAGGCTCCACTGGCATCTTAACAGAGTCCCTGAACAGTTTCCTGTGTTTGTGCCTCTGTATGTGTATTTAGTTCTGTGTAATTTAACACCTGTGTAGCTTTGTGTACTCAGTGCTACAGTGGGAACCCTGAGCCGTCAGTATCCCCTACAGACAAATTCACATCACTGTTTTAGAACCCCATCCACTTCTCTCTTCCTCCACCCCACCCCCTTGGTAACCACAGATCTGTCTTACATTTGTAGAATTTTGTCCTCTGCAGGATGACATCATGTAGTATATAACCTTTTTGGAATTGCTGTTTTTGGATCTTTTTTTTGGTAACAGATTTATTGCAATATAATCTGCATTCATACATGTCATTCTTTATACAGTTTAGAAGCTTTCAGTATCTATGGAGTTGAACAACTATTTAATATGATTGATTTTGGAACATGTCATGGTTTTAAGTGGGACCCTTCCACCGTTTAACAGTTGCCCAGTTCATCCTAATCCTAAAGCCCCAAGCAAACATGAATCCGCTTTCCCCTCTTTTGATTTGCTCTTTGTAGATATTGTATATTTTGGAACCATGTATGATTGTTTGTAGTCTTTTGCAGGTGGCTTTTTTATTTGGCCTTATTCGTGCTATAGTGTGTTGCCATTACTGCATTCCTTTTGGTTGTGTTGTGTAACTTTCTCCTACTTAAGTTGTCCATTCACCGGTGGACAGATACTTGGGTTATTATTATTATTATTTGTTTTTTTCCGAGACAGGGTTTCTCTGTAGCTTTGGAGCCTGTCCTAGAACTCACTGTGTAGATCAGGCTTGGCCTGGAACTCTCAGAGATCCACCTGTCTCTGCCTCCCAAGTGCTGGGATTAAAGGCATGCGCCACCACCACCTGACTGTTTATACGTTTTGACCATCAGGAACAATATTTCATACCAGTTTTAAAAATATTTATTTTCAATTGTGTGTGTGTGTGCATTTGTGTGTGTATGTGTATCTGTGTCTGTGTCTTCCGTGTGCAGGAGGCCAGAGGAGGGTGTTGATTTCTCCCTGGAGCTGCAGTTACATACAGGGTTGTAAATCACCTCGAGTGGTTGCTGGGGGTGGAAGCCCAGGACCTCTACAAGAGCATCAATTGCTTTTAACAGCTGAGCCCTCCCTCCAGCCTTCTCCCTCCCTTTTCATGGTCTTAATTTGCATTTCTTTAAAGTCTAGTGTTGCTAAACATCTTTCCACACATGACTGCCACTGCCTGTTCTCGTCATTGAATTGCCTGTTCATACCATTGCTCATTTCTTAATAGAATTACTCTTTTTTTTCCTGTTGAGTTTTGAGAATTCTTTATGCACTGTAGATACTAGGTGTATCTAGAACACACCATTAATATAATAATGGATGCATAGTCTGTAGGTATTTCTCACGTAGAGATCTTGTTCCCTCATTGTCATTGACACATTGTATGGATTGATAATCAACATTTTAGATTTTGATGGAGTCCTGTTTCTCAAATTTCCCAGTGCTTTTGAAGTCAATCTTAAGAGTCCCTTGCCTAGCCCTAACTCCCAGAGATCTTTTCTTATTTCTTCTTTTATTTTTTTTTCTATCAAAAAGTTTAACTGTTTCATCTTTACATCTGTCTTAGTTCGGGTTTCTATTGTTGTGGAGAGACACCATGGCTGCAACAGTTCTTGTAAAGGAAAAACATTTCATTATGGTGACTTACATTTTCAGAGATTTAGTCCTCTATCATCATGTTGGAACATGACGGTTAGCAGGCAGACATGGTGCTGGCTACATCTTGATCAGACGGTCACAGGAAGTGGGCTGTGGCACTGGATGTGGCTTGAGCATATATGAGACCTCAAAGCCCACTTCCACAGTGACACACTTCCTTCAACAAGGCCACACCCACTCCAGCAAAGCCACGCCTCTTAATAGTGCCACGCCCTTCAGGAGTCATTTTCTTTCAAACCAGCACAACATCCATGGTCTGCTTTGGATAATGTATGAGATTAAGATTAAGAGTCAAACTGTTTTTGCAATTGATGTTAAAAAGGAATTGAACTCAGGTCCTCAGGTTTGAAAGCAAGTGTCTTTTACCTACTGAGCCATCTTGAAAGCCTGTAATTCATATTCTTAAGTCTTATTAAAAGCTGATTTGTGGGTCACCTAAAATCTAGTTCAATACCAGACTTTGGGAGAGAGATACTTGGGTGATGGCTCAGTCTCCCTGTGGTGATTGCCTTCTAACTGATGGGTCTGGGTCAGGTGGCGTACCTACTGAGAGCTTCAGTCTTCTTGTTTTCTAAGTGGAAACACACTAATCTCTACCATATGGGGTAGTGTGAAGATTCAGGCAGTGGATGCTTATTGAGTGTCTATTATGTGCCAGGTAATGCGACAGTTGCTGGCGATACATGGGCTGCACCCCAGATAGAGGCCATCAACATTTGAGTCCTCTTAAAACTCTGCAGGGAGCTCTTGTCCTGGCAGAAGAAGGCAGATGATAAATAAGTAAACAAGTGAAATATATAGTCTGTCAGATGGTGATAAGCGTGTGAAGAGGAATAAATCAGGGCAAGGGATGGGGAGGTTGGGGGTTGTTATTTATAAAAAGCTGAAGGACTGTCGTACTGAGATGGTGGCATCTGAGCAGAGCCATGCAGGAGGCGAGGGGTTGAGCTAGGTGGTGTGCCATAGGGAGACAGCTAGGGAAGGAACAGGCCGGTCAGGCCTGGAGGAGGGAGCATGGAGACCCGTGAGAGGATGTCTAAGTAGAGCTTGGAATGTCAGACCCAGAGTCAAGTGAGCTGAAGGAGTTGATGTCAGGGCTTGGGGATCAGGAGTGAGCATGGGCAACTGGTGTTGAGAAGGTCTGTTCTGGATATATTGTGGAGAAATGACTATAGGAGGGACGCTGGCTAGTATTTATCAAGTGGACACAAACAAGTCACCTAGGAGGAGGGATCCTCAATGGGGGAAATGCCTATATTAGATTGTCCTGTGAGAACAGCTGTGGGGCGTCTTCTTGATTATCGATTGGTATGGGAGGTCCCAGTCCACTGTGGGTGGTGTCACCTTTAGGCAGGTGATCTTAGGCTTTGTAAGGAAGCAGACTGAGCAAGCCATGAGAGAGTGCGCCACTGCCCTGGCTTCCCTGGATGATGGGACATGATGTGGAAGTGTAAGCCAAATAAACATTTTCTTCCCCTAGCCAGACCATGACAGAATGCAAGGGTTCCCAAAGGAGCTCCAGGGGGAGGCTCTTGCAGCTGCTGCAGCCAGAGACGGTAGCCAGAAGTCGAGTGGAAGTGACCATGATGGCAGTGATGACAAGTTGCTCAGTCTGGTTGGTTCTGAAGTCGATAGCATCTGCTGATAGATCTGCTAGGGGATGAGGAAGAAAGAAATAGAGAGACTCGAGGATGCTCCAAGGTGTTTTGCTTGAGCAACTGGACTGATGGAGCTGTCACTGCAAAGGAGCCCACAGCAACAGAGTTGGTGTGGGGAGCTGACCTGGGGGGTGTCATTGATCAGGAGCTGAGCTTTGGACACAATGGCTTTGAGACGCCATTAAATGTGCCAGTGGCGGTCTCTACCAGGCAGCTGGATGGATGAGCAAGGGACTGAGGGAAGGGTGCAGGATGCTGGTATGAATCTGAAAGATGTCATTACAGAGATGGTGTTGGTGGCATTTAAAGCCATGTGGCAAGATCATATCTCTCGTGTTAGTGTTCTCAACAGGGGTGATTTTCTCTCCTAGGAGACATTTGCTGGTGTCTGGAGACATACTTCTGTCATTCTGGTTGCTGCTGGTGGGTGCTACTGGCATAAAGAGACAGAGGCCAGGGACAGCTAAACTTCTTGCAGTGCATGGACAGTGTTCAATGACAAGTAATTATCTGGTCCAAGATGCCAATAGTGTTGAGGTTAAAAACCCCGTTTAGGTTTTTTGGGAATGTAAATGAGGAGAAGGACACGTGAAACTAATCCTTGGGGCCCTGCAGTATTTTGGGTCAATCTGGGCAGTTGTAGGGAGCACATTACATGCATGTAAAGTACTGTGCTTGGCACACCACAGGCTCTCCGT